GGCTTGGTCAGACTGAGGAAGTTCCTGACCTAGGCAGGCGATTACTGAGCAAGCGCCGCCATGGCTACCCAGTCTTGGCTCGGGCGGGCTCCAACCCGACCGATGCTAGGAATATGCTCTAGATCTGTTAGGCACCTAGAGGCTGATAAACGGGTAGAGCACAGAGTGTTAGGCCTCACCAGGAGTTTATTCTCTCCACTACCATGAGGTTGTGTCAGCCACTTCCAGTGCAGGGTCACACCCGAGGCGTGACACGTCACGACGAGGACCCCTGGGTGCATGAAGTATGGAGGATTATGGGCCCACATGGCAGCTTCCCTCCTTGAAGGGGAGAAAACCTGATGTAATAAGAAAGCCACGAGAATGTAGGGTTGAGATGGCAGACTAGAGGGGGTGAATAGTCCTTTCTAAAATTTAAACGCGACGACTAACCAAAATCAAATGAGGAATTAAAACAATCAGTCTAGCCAAGACTACACCCCTCTATCTAAGTTTAGTAGCACCTTGCAAAGATCCTAATTAGGCAACAAAGGTGCCGGGCTAGCTGGAGCTCACCTAATCAATTCTAAAGCAAGATCACATAAACCTATGCACTAATACTTTGCACAACCGAGGGAGCTCCTACACAACTAGTATGCAAAAGCACAAAGCCTAAGCTCACTAGCAATGCTCAATAACAAGGCAACTAATGCCAAATTAGAGAGTGCAAATTACTTAGCTACACAAACTAAGTAAAGTAACTAACAAGGTTACTAAAACTAAATTAGTTACACAAATGAGCTACTTCTATGCTACACAAGCAAGAAGGTAACTAGCCAACTACACAAGTCAACTAATTACTAGAGCAACTACACAAGCACAAGTATATGAAAGGAAATACAAGCTTGTGTAATGAGGATGCAAACCAACAGGAAGACAAGGTTGACATGATGATTTTGTCCTGAGGTTCACGTGCTTACCAACACGCTAGTCCCCGTTGTGTCGACCGCTCACTTGGTGGTTCGGCGGCTAATTGGCATCACCCGCCAAGCCCGCACATCGAGCACCGCAAGAACCTACCCATAAGTGAGGGTAGCTCAATGACACGCTCTACTAGAGTTGCTCTTCGCGATCCCCACGGGGTGAGCACAATCCTCCTCATAAATCCTCCTTCGGAGCATCACACAATCTTCTCACATGGTTCAATAGAGTCACAAGCCACCAAGCCATCTAGGAGGTGGCAACCTCCAAGAGTAACAAGCACCACCGGCTTGCAACTCGATCACCTAGTGCCCCTTGATGCAACCTCACGATGTAATCACACTAGAATCGCTCACTCACTCAATCGGATGATCACTATCAATCACAAGTGAGTTAGAGGGCTCACAAGCATCACCACACAAGCCACCAAGGCTCTAGTGTGCTCAGCACCTCAAATGGTTAGCCACCACCTCTATTTATAGAGGGAGGCCTCAAACTAGTCGTTTGGACGCGTGCTGAAAAGTGAACTGCAGATAGTTCACCCTTATAGGCCTGGATAGTCCGCCCTTATGCTAAAAATAGCCATTAGGTGCAGCAACGGTCACCCCAAATAGTATGCCCCTTAGGGACCGGACAGTCCGCCATTCACCTAAAACTAGATGTTAGAATTCAAACGATAGCGCCGGACAGTCCAGGAATTATAGGCGGACAATCCACCGTTCAAACTCAACAACAAGTCCAGAACCTATCCAGCAACCTCTGTTCCTCAAAAATTATACAGCAGATAGTCCTCCCTTATAGGGTCGAACAGTCCGCCGTTCATTTCAAACAGCCTAGATAGAGTTTCCAGCAACTCTGCTCGCCATCGATTTTAGCCAGCGGACAGTCTGTCACCTAGGCACGAATAGTCCGTTGTTCACCTATCAGCCCATGAACAGTGCGAGTGTCGTGTCTGATCCCTCCTAGATGTCAACGTCCGAGGACAACGGACAATCCACCACCAAAGGGCAAACAGTCCGCCAATGTCCAGAAAGCAATCCAAGCTTCCTAGCGACCTCCTCCTCGCTTTCAACTTCTTTTCCTTTGCAAATGTGCCAACACCACCAAGTGATACACCACCTTATGCTCGTGTGTTAGCTTTTCATAAACATTTTATCAGAGGATTACCAATCTTCTCACCACGCCACTCGATCCTAGCAACAATGCAAAATTAGATCACTTGAGTGGCACTAGATGACCGATATGCAAACAAGTTTGCCCCTCTTGATAGTACGGCCATCTATCCTAAACCCGGTCATCAACTTCTCTACTCACCTATGATGGGTGAAATAAATGCCTTATAGGTTATACATTTGCCTTGCGCATTCCATTCCATCTCCTCCAATGTCGATGCAACACATGCACCAACATGATCAACAGTGATATGATCCACTTCATATCATCATGTGACCTTATTGGTTCATCAATCTTGACCTCACTTGCTCTTCACCGTTGCATCGGTCCATCAGCGCCAAGTCTTTCCTCAAGCATCCCGCCACACGGTCCAGCGCTTCAAAGCCTCTAACTTGCCCTTCACCCTTGCAACCGGTCCATCAAGCCAAGCCTCATCTTGATCTTCTCCACCTTAGTCACATGACTCCATGTCATGTCTCATATGCAATGAGCTCCTTCATTACATATTCACCTATGGACTAATCTCCTGTGTACTCTCACATAACCACATATTAGTCCACCTATGTTGTCACTCAATTACCAAAACCAAACAAGGACCTTTCAGATAAGGTGCACCTCGGAAAGGCACAACGATAGTAGACAACACCTGACAGTTAGCTCTAGGCAACAAAAGAAGTTGTTAGGGGTAGTCATTAGAACGTTGTCAGCCCCCTGCTACAAGACAAAGGAGGACACACGTCATCATTGGAAGAAAGCCGAGCCTAGGACGAGAAACCCTAGGACCCCCCTCGAAACCATGTAATTTGTACTCCCATTGCCCTATAGTATATAAGGCAGGGCATGGACTCTGTAGAAAGGATTAACCCACAATAGAGGGAATCAGCTCCTCATCCAAGCCACCAAAATCCTAGAACAGGGGTGTAGCATACCCTACATCCCTCTCTCTTCCTTAATCTCTCAATTGTAAGAACTTGATTGAGCATTCCTAACACGAATAACACCACTGCTGGATGTAGGGATTAGGCGCCTGAATGAGGATAAATACCTTGTGTTCCGAGTGCTTAAGCCCACCAGAGACTCACGCATCGACCCATATCAAACAACCAGATTATTGTCATGAAAATGAACACACAACAGTTGAGTGGCGGCATCATGCGTGATTGTTGCTCTTTGATGGTCTAGGCCACCATCCACGCCACCAGAGCTGGAGGAGTCACCCCTGATGGCGGCGTGCACTACTTCGATGAGATGATCTCCGCTGGCAGCGCCTTCGCTCCCAGCTAGGTTCTCAACTTTCGTAGTCTAGACTACGTTGTTGATCACAGCGATGAACTCTGCCTCTGCGATGAGGGGCCGTTAGAGGACAACGAGCCCTTGGCAATGTTCCCTCCGATCGGACTCCTGTGCACCAACTTGGAAGTACTTTCTCAGCAGATCCACCTCGGTCTGGGCTTGAACTCACCGTGGGGGACCGCTGCTGGATGTTTCTACACACTGGCCAATGTTCACCACTAGATCATCACTAGAGAGGGGTTATCATCAGCCCATGTTTCCTGTGCACCCTTCCTGATCTCCCATACGGGATCCGAAATGTAGTGGCCATGTTCTAGCTCAAACTGGAGTAGCTCGCCAGCACGGACGTCTTGTGGTGTTTTCCTCTTGGGCACCGCTAGGACCAACCCCCCTCCTTGCGTACCTTCCTCGAGATACTCTTGAGGGCTAACTCGGAGTACGACTCCGATGAGGCAGAAAGTTTCCACTTGGGACGAGAGTGCTACTGCTTCCACGGAGAGCCTCCACCCACCGACGAGCCAGAAGACACGCCGTCGGGCCTGACTCCGACACGTCAAGCCGCCTACCTTCAAGAAAAGACAGAGCGGCTTAGGGCTCGGCAGGCCGACCTCGAGGCTGAATGCATCAAGCTCGAGCTGAAGCCGGAGGAGATGGAGCATTGGCAAACGAGCAACATGCCGAATTTCATTGCTTTCCTAATATATTGCTCTATACTATGGTGCCTAGCTCAAAAAAATATAGAGCATGCTTTTAGGAAAAAGTAAGGAATTATTTGCATATTTATCTAAGTTAAAATTATTTTTCTAATATTAAATCATATTTTAGTATTTTAAATGCATATTTATTTTTAGATAAAACATTAGATACCTTTTAGAAAAATATTTCTACATTTTTTACAAAATCAATTGACCTCCTTGAACTATATTGAAAGTCTGATTTACTTTTCTTATGGCTTATTTGACGCCATGTAGGATGTTTGACGTGACGCTACATTAGCCAAAATTGTTTTGAGAGGTAAATCGAATGGTTTCGAGAGTTGAAGAAATCTAAGGGCCGTGTTTGGATTCTTTAGCACTAAAATTAGCTAGTTAATAATTAATAGCTGCTATTTTTTAGCTAGCTATTTTTTAGTAGGAAGGCATTTGGATCCACCTGCTAATAGCTGGTTGGATAGTGAGTTGAAGACACATATAAACTATTAGCATCTATTAATAACTATAAACCTATTAATGAAACTAATAGTTAGCAGCCTCTACCTAATAATTAGCAGGTTTATTAACAGGTATATTTTGATCCACTAGTAATAATTTTAGCTATTAATTTTTAGTGTTAATGGATCAAATAGACCCTAAAATTTCTTTTTTTTTTTTTTTTTTTACGGAGAGAGGCAAAACGAACTCGCAAAGTTAAAGGAAGGGGTCGGATGGATTTTTTAGAGAAGCAGCCTCGCAGCGGCCCAGCAACACCCTCTCCAAAGTCCACCAAAGTCCAGACCTCATGTCCCGGCCACTAGTAGAACCAAGAGACCCCTAGAACCAGATCCCCCGCCGGGCGCCACCACACGGGACGTGACGATGCGCTGCTCGCCTCAGCTATCCCACCGCGACTTCGTCGCCGTGCTCTCCCGCTGCTCTACCCGCGCGCACCTCGAGCAGCTCCACGCCCACGCCTTCGTCACGGGGCGCGCCGCCGCGCAGACCACCACCTTCCACCTCATCCGCTTCGCCGCCCTCCGCGTTTCCTGCCTCGCCTATGCCCGCCACCTCTTCGACGCCACGCCTCACCCCAACGTCTTCCTCTACTCCGCAATTCTCTCTGCATATGTCTCCGCATCAGCCGCCGCCTCACCTCCATCCTACGGCCACGCCCGCGACGCGCTCGCCCTCTTCCTTCGCATGCTTCGTCACGGCCGCCCAGCGCCTAATCAGTTCGTGTACCCGCTCGTGCTCCGCGCTGCCTGCGGCGTCGGCGTCGGCATTGTCAGGTCGATCCACTCCCACGCCTGCAAGAGCGGCTTATGTGGATACGATGTCATAAGGACATCACTCCTCGTTGGTTATTCGAGGCACGGTATGATGGCCGACGCGCGCAAGCTGTTTGACGGTTTGACCGAGAGGAACGTGGTCTCCTGGACCGCGCTGGTGTCCGGGTATGCAAGGGCAGGGAAGGTTGGGGATGCGATCGTGCTCTTCGAGCGGATGCCCGAAAGGGACGTGGCTGCATGGAATGCAATCATTGCAGGCTGCTCTCAGAACGGGTTGTTTGTGGAGGCGGTTGGGATTTTTGGGAGGATGGTGGGCACGGGGTTCCGGCCAAATGCAACCACCGTTTCTTGTGTACTATCTGCGTGTGGGCATCTTGGGATGCTGAAGATTGGGAAGTTGATCCACTGCTACGCGTGGAGGACCTGCGTTGGTTTTGGCTCATCCGTTCTGAATGGGTTGATTGATATGTACGGTAAATGTGGGAATCTGGAGGGGGCAAGGTGGATCTTTGATGAGGTTTCTGATAGAAGCCTAACAACTTGGAATTCTCTGATCAATTGTCTGGCACTGCATGGGCACAGCAAGTGTGTGATATCTGTGTTTAATGAGATGAGGGGTGAAGGGGTTGAACCTGATGTGGTCACCTTCGTTGGACTGTTGAATGCATGCACTCATGGAGGGTTCGTTGATGAAGGCATTAAGTACTTTGAATTGATGCAGCATGAGCACGGAATTGAACCAGAGATTGAGCATTATGGGTGTATCATCGACCTTCTTGGCCGGGCAGGCCGGTTTCAGGATGCATTGAATGTTATCAGCGATATGAGAATTGAAGCAGATGAAGTCATATGGGGGTCATTGCTCAATGCATGTAGAGTACACAGACAAGTAGAACTTGCTGAGTTAGCAATTCGAAAGTTACTAGAGTTGGATCCAAATAACGCAAACTATGTGCTGATGCTGGCAAATGTATACAGTGAAGGTGGCTTGTGGGAAGAGGTGAGGAAAGTAAGAAAGTTCGTGAAGGAGGAGAATATAGGCAAGAAGCTGCCTGGTTGTAGCTGGATCGAGGTGGACCGCAAGACACACCGGTTTTACTCTGGTGATGATGCCCATCCTGAGTCAGAGAATATATATGACACTCTTGATGATTTAGCTGCCTCAATGGAATTCTGAAAAAAATATACTGCCAGCTAACCATGTTTCCAGAAACTTGCATAGCTGCATAACTTCCATAAATTGTCTTCATTATTGGAAAGTCATGGGCTTAACTTCTGAGTGGTAAACAAAGTGGGCTTAGCTCACACATTTATTGGAGGTACACAAGAATGTGTTCCATCAAAGCCTTCTATCAAGCTACTTCATGGCAAGAGGTACAGCAAAAGTTAGTTCTAATGCCTGAACTGGACTGTACTTATGTTATGTACAGGATCTGTGCTTTTCAGTTTCAAAATGCCATTATGCAGACATGAAAGTATGCATATATTTTCATTTGATTCATATTGCATTTGATGCTAGAGTAGAAGTGCTTCTATCAGCCATATATTCAACCCACATCAAGAGCTTTCTATATCCCATTTACACTTTCTTTTTTGTTTATGTTGCCAATCATGCTGTCAGTTTGAGGTTCTCTTGCACAACATGTGCTTTCTTTTCCCTTATGACCGTTTAATTGCTAAATTCCCCACCTTGTTAAGATGGGGGTGGCAGCTAGTCTCTTATCTTCTACTTATGGATTGCCACATTTTACATGCCAACTAGAAATGGATAGGTGCCCACTTTCATATCCCCTGTTTCCTGCAAAATAAACTCAAACACGTGGAAACGAACATATGCTAATGAGGACAAGGGGCCACAAATGATTGATGCTAACTCTCTAATATGTGCAATAATCATCTTTGAAGAAAAAGAACCGATTTTGGTTGTTCCATATTTGTTCCAACATGTGCCAGTGTGCTCTCAGTTTGCGGTGCCAAACTGGTGGGATAATCACCCAATTTAGTGTGATATTGATACATTTTGTGTGAAATAATTGAAGCAAACTAAAAAGATACTGTGAAATTGCCAGTAGTATATTTGTCTTATTCTTTGTACTGCCAGTATAACAAATTACCATGCTTGGAACTATCTTGTTGCTGATAGTTAATGTCTCCACACAGTTATGTAGATGCTGATGATAATGGAACATGGGAAGGGGTGTATAGGAAAAATGAAAAAAAAAAATCAGAATCTGCAGTCTGGAGAAGTGCCTTGCGATTGCTGATAGAATGATAGTCAAACTACATATTTTACCATTTGTGGTGTCCATTAGTGATTACTGGTTTGATCTTGACATTTCACAACCAGTGTATATAATGGAAATGACTGAAGCAAAGTAGCAAACTAGAAAGGTGTTGTCCAGTTACTTGAACCAGCAGTATATTTTTCACATTCATTGTACTGTTGATATAACAAATTGCCATTCTTGGAGCTGTCTTTTTGTTGGTACTCAATGTCTGTCCACAGTTCTTCAAATCAAATGAGAATGGAACATGGGAAGGGTAGATCAAAAAAAAAAATCTGAAAACTGGAGAAGAACCTTCCAATCGTTGATGGTTAAGACATCTTTGCCCACACACCAGTTAGTGATTACTTTTTTTGAGCTTGTCATTTCACAACATACGTTGCTCCATAACTACGTTTAGGGCTTGTTTGATTGCACACTAATCCACCCCAAGCCACGTGGGTTGGGAGGGCACCTCAACCCTCCCAACCCTTAGGTGGATGCTCCTGAGTCCTGACCTAAAAACCCTGTTTCATTTAGGGGTATTTGGTTTGAGTACTGAGAGGATGATGGGTTGATCCACTACCAATTCAGCACTTCCTTTGTCACAAGCATATTGTTAGTATGATTTGAGAAATTGTGTTATTGCACCAAAATTCGTGCATTGATCCTTCAAAGTACAAAACGCCTTATTAAAAACAGCATGTTTTCCCTAGGGATGCTACATCTTTGGAAGGATCATGTCTTATTGTATTTGATGATATGATCATGAGTCCAGAAACTGGCAAACTGTGCAACCCCCAGTTGAGCACACAAGTTTACCTTCATCTCTTCCTGGTACTTTCTCAACTTGATATTATCTTACACTTGGTAATACCATAATGCTCAGTGGTAATTAACAATCACTGCTATTTAGAGTGACTATTTGATTACTTATGCCTTCTTTTCATGTACTACAGTACAAAAGGTGTAAAAAAGAAAATGATGGGACAAGCTGAAGGTGAACCGAAGAAAACTGCTATCTATTGCCATTTACTGTTTCAGATTTGCAGAAGGCAATTCCAGATTTTTAGCCTACTCAGCTTGTGGAATTCCATTGCAGATGCTAGTATCAACCATGATGTACCCAACAAGAAACTTTAAATTTGCAGACGCAAGAGCTGTTTGGACGACCAATAACCCTCCTAATTCAGTTGAATGTATGATGGAAGTCAGAATCAGTTATACAGCTTCTGGTATTACTAGCATTGGAAGTGCCAAAGCGTTTCCTTGGATGAACTGTGGTGCCTTTGTCCTAAGAATATTTTGTGTCCGTGTTGTACCATTCCATAGCTGTTTCCTTTTTTCAGCTTAGCTGCCTAGCTGGGTTCTTATTGGATTTATCCCAGTCGTCTCCAACCTATTCTTCCAACTTGGAACTTTTCCTCATTTTATTAACTTCTTTACCAATTCATTGTTTTCTTTTTTGAAAAGGTATCAATCCATTGTTGGTTCATGCCATCCTTTGATCGTATCACTTGGTGAAAAGGAGATTCCTTGATCGAAGAGATCAAGATTCAAGGCTCTGGATTGAGTTACGTGATGGTCGTCATTTCCATGTCATATCATCCAGCTCGTGTATGGTCAGTTGGTCACATGGCAGGATCATGTTGGAATATGGGTAAATGACCGCCCTACGTTGCCACTGCAATCCTGGCGGAGATGATGGAGGTAGAAAAGGATGGTGCAGGTTACGGAACTAGTATGCAACAAGGTACAATGACATGGACCAACGATTTGAAAAGTAGAATAGAAGAATAAAAGCACTCTATCGTCTTGGTCTCGAATGATTCGTTATTTGATCAATTGCAGCAATTTAGCCTGTCCAAATAAAGGTAGGATAAGTGACTGGAGTGAAATGGAGCCAGCAACTTTATCAGGGCTTTGAGTTGTTTCTGGTGATCCGTTCAAAGGGGTGGGATGGATTCCATGTTTCCAGTTCAGACTTCAGAGCCGCATAAGAAGAGTCCTGTGGGAAGCAGGGATGCCGTGAAGATTTTGCACAGATGGTCATGCAGCCATGGCAGCCATCGACGGCGACGATGATGGTAGATCAGAATTCAAAAACATCGTCGGGATATGCCATTCTTGGACCAATTTTGGAATGCGCGGAAGCAAGACGTTATTGCCAGTCTTTCTTTTTCGATGAATGCTCGGAGTCTGAGTAATTTGTATCGTGTCAATATCTTTTTTGTTTGAAGCTCAAAGGAAAAAAAAACTATCTTAGACAAAAGTAGTATATCTCATGGTTGTTATTGTACAATCATCATGTAGATGTAGGAGTAACATACTATGAGATATCCAACACAACACAAGAGCCACCTGCGTGCATTCTGCACGGTGCATATGTATGTGTAATAATAATTTTTTCGATTACACAGTACAACGCAATGCCCACTAGAACTCGCCGCTGGACGCGGCCGCGATCTGCGTGCTCTGTGTCCCCTTCGGTCTGCTGCTCAAGCTCAAGTCGTCGTCGTGGTACGCGTACGCGAACCCGCCGTGCCGCGTCTGGTCCATGCCGGCCATCTCGTCCTCGGCCGAGACGCGGAGCAGCCCCAGCTTGTTGAGCGCCAGGAACAGCGGGGCCATGGTGACGCTCACCCACGCGGCGATCACCAGGATCATGACCACGTTCGCGGCCAGCAGCCTCCCGCCGCCGCCCATGAACAGCCCGTACGGGCGCCCCGGCGTGCCGTAGATCTGCTCCACGTACTCCCTGCGCGCGAACAGCCCCGTGAAGAGGACCCCCCACGCGCCGCACCCGCCGTGCAGCTGCGCGGCCTCCAGCGGGTCGTCGAACCGGAGCCTGGCCGCCAGCGCGTTGAGCCCGATGAGCACCCACGCCGACACGAACCCGCAGATGACGGCCGCCCAGGGGTCGACCACGGAGCAGCCCGCGGTGATGGCCGCGAAGCCGCCCAGGAGGCCGTTGCAGACGTCGACCACGTTCCAGTGCCCCGTCTGGAGCCTCTTCCCGAAGAGCGTCGTGAGCGCCGCCGTGCTGCCGGCGAGGGTGGTGGTCACGGCCGTGCGACCCACGGCCGACCACTGCCCGTGGATGCTTCCCGCGGGGCCGTAGCTCTTGAGGATGGTGAGGAACGACCCGGGGTTGAACCCGAACCAGCCGAACCACAGCAGGAAGGTGCCGAGCACGACGAGCGACGCGCTGTGGCCGCGCAGCGCCACGGAGCGGCCGGCGTGGTCGAACCGGCCAATGCGGGGGCCCTCGATGAGGGCGCCCCAGAGGCCGGCGATGCCGCCCACCATGTGGACGACGCTGGAGCCGGCGAAGTCGATGATGCCGGAGCCGAAGAGCAGCTTCCCCGATGTCCGGGACGGCGAGGCCCAGCCGTCGGCGGACCAGACCCAGTGGGACACCACCGGGTACACGAAGCCGGTGAGGAAGGCGGAGTAGATGAGGTACGCCACGAACTGCGTGCGCTCGGCGATGGAGCCCGACGTGATCCCGGCGGCGGCGATGGCGAAGGCCCACTGGAAGAGGAAGAAGTCGTAGTCGAAGCCGACCTGGGGAAGCCGCTTGAGGCCGAAGAATTGCTTGCCGATGAAGCCGTTGGACGGGGTCCCGTACGCGAAGGCGAAGCCGAAGAGGTAGTAGAAGAGCGCGCCGGCGGCGGCGTCGAGCACGTTGGTGAGCATGATGTTCATGGTGTTCTTGGCGCGGACGGAGCCCGCGCAGAGCATGGCGAACCCGAGCTGCATGGCGAAGACGAGGTAGGCCGAGAAGAGCAGGTACGTCGAGTCCACCGCCGACGTGGTGTCCGCGAACTGGTTGCACAGGTACTCCGTCGCGTTCGCCGCCGGGCCCAGTAGCGGCGCGAGGGTCGTGGCGCACGTCGCCATCTCGACCGGC